TCCAGAGGGGTGTCATGTTCTGGAAGGTAAGATCGCTGTATGGTGGCCGCCCTTTGTGATGGGTCTTCTGCTTATATCCTACTCTTATTATGGATCTGAGCGAGATGCCCGAAAATAACCTGCTGAAAGCTCAAAGACCGCGAATTGTGTGTGGCCGCATCGTTCTGTCTACTTGGTCCTTGCCAAATCGTCCTTTCACGTCATAAAGTTTAATTCAAAATGAAGGTTTCTGTTACGGTACATTCTGCTGCTGGTTTCCAGGGCCACACTGGTCTGTTCAACAAGTCGGACTTGTACGTTGAATGCCACTACGGTACCTTCCACTCATGGCACACCAAGACTGCCAAGGACGCTGGCTCCAGCGCAGATTTCGAAGAGACCTGGACCTTTGATTCCAATGACAGCCACTCCGAAATTACAATTAAAGTGCGCGATGCAAGACACTTGAAGCTTGATGAGACTCTGGCCGAAGGCGCTTTCAAGTTTGAGCAGAGACCTGGTTACTTCTACACTGGCGAAGTGGGGCTTCTTGACGAGAAACACGGCGATGAACCATCTGTCAGGTTGACTGTGAAGTGTGAGTAAACTGACTCGGTGCAAGCGAAGCTGTGATGCGATAACACATTGAATTTTTTAGTATGGAACCGAGTATTGATAATTAGTGTGTGGTGTGAAACTGGATCTTGCTGTGTGATGGAAACCGTCCCAGACAGCCCCTCCGTGTCGGATAACGCAGCCTTTCCCCATCATGCACGGGACCTGTGTATTCGCTACGGCGTCTAGTGTGTTCAAAACCTGGGTCCTTCTAGGTATTCAACTTATACCCTAATCTTGCGACAGTCTTGCAACCGCGACTGCTGCCAGGATATGTGCGGTTCGATGTAGCACGCTATCTGGGAAGTCCAATGTGTCTCACTGCTGATACGTTCGACTTGTCTCACTCCCACCCCGTCAGAGGGTTTGCACTTTGATTTTAGTTAAACCTAGCAGTCTCGTTCCTCACCACGGGGCCTCAGCAAGTACCCGCCGTCGACATCCAAGGTGACGTTGGCCCGCATATATTTATGCGGGTGATTTTAATAACATGGCGAGGCCGGAAGGTCGTGGACGATTGGAGCGTCGGAAAAAGAAAGCTGACCTGAAATCGCAGCGACGTGAAGAAAACGAGAGGCGGCGCCAGAAAAACGAGGAGGCAGCGAACGATAAGGTCCGGAAGCATGGGGAGAAAGATAAGACTCGGACGCGTGGGGAGAAAGATAAGACTCGGATACTACGAGGCAAGAGTGAGAAGAGCACCAACAATGGCTCCCGAGGTTCTGATGGGAACAGTTCGACTGCACGTCTTGGTGAGCAACAAGCCAGACGGGAGTTCAGTATTGATTCTGAGGCGAAAGCTTTTCTGGGTGAAACCCGCGGGAATGAGATGAATGATGATGACATGCTCATTGAGTACTTGGAACGTCAGTTGAACATTCGAGGCGATAAGAAGAAGTCACAAAAACTCATAGAAGACGTGGCCATGACTGAGTTCGGTGGGGATAGAGACTTGGTAGGCATACTGGATTCCATCTTAGACGGCCAACCATCCATTCAGCGTGAAGCGTCTAACCGCACTGCGATTAGTGGTAGCGAAGATGGGGATGGTAGCGAAGATGGGGATGGTAGCGAAGATGGGGACGACGGCAGCGAGGACGAGGGCGAGCCGGCGGAAGGTGTGGAGTCGTCCGAAGACTTGCAGCCGGCGGAAGGTGTGGAGTCGCAAGGGGGGGAGGAGAATGTGGACTCCGTAGTCTTGAACCCGGTGAGTGTGGACACGGAGAGTGTGGACACGGAGAGTGTGGACACGGAGAGTGTGGACTCGAGGCAGGTCCGGGTGAGTGAGGGCCGGGTGAGTGAGGGCCGGGTGTGTGGGCCTGGCAAGTATATACCGCCTCATTTGCGGAAGAAGGTGGCTGTAGCATCTGCGTCGGTTTCGGCGGAGTTGTTGCAGGAGATCCGAGCGGCGTTTAATCGAGTGAGTGAGGGCAATTTGAATTTGATAGTGGAGGGTGTGGTTCGAGCAGTGGCGGCTGAGAAGGAGCGTTTGCAATTGGCGTTGATGGGTGTTGACGAAGAGGTGAAGTTGAAGGTTGCGGAATTTTTCGTGAGTGTGACGGAATGTTGTGCCGGTCAGGCCATGGCGTTTCTAGAGTTGAAGGCAGGTATGGCGCTGATGGCGCCACAGATAGCGTTGTTGTGTGCTCTTTCGTCGGCAGTGAGTAAGCAGGTTTTATTGCGTTATCTAGCTAAATGTTTGCAGTTGTTTGCAAACAACTTAACACGTTACTTGGGCCGTTCTTTGGGTGATTTGAACCCTGAAACGGGCATGGTGGACTTGGAGGATAAGGAGCAGGCAAGACAGTGTGTGACGTCCTGTGGCCTGATCTGTTACTACGGTTTCGTAGATGTCGATTTGCTCATCGAATTGGCGCGGTACATCGCTGATCGTAATAATATGGGAACGGAAGAACACACTCAGGGACGCCTAGAATTACTAGCAGTACTACTCAGGACGTGTGCACCCGGACTGAACGCGGAATATGTGGAGAAATACAAACTTCTAAATTCGATTGTTAAAAACTTGTTGCAAAAATTAGAAGGCAAATCTAATATGCATATAGACTGGGTGCGATATGAATTAGAGAATGTTGGTAAGCACAACAAGACCCCCCTCTTCGAAAAGCTTACTGCTATGAGGAATTGGCTGAAACGCAAAAATACTGCCAAAGGCGGATCGGGAATAATTCAGTGCATAAACAACCAAAAATGCTTTCTCGCATTTATAGATGGCAAGATCCCCAAGGAACTCCTTACTGGTATTGATCAGGACAGCACCGACCAGGACAATATTCTGGATGACACACACGCCGGACATCTTATACGTGCAGCGAAAAAGTTCAAGATCAGCTCTCCCTATCAGCAAAGGATCTTTGCCGCTATAATGGGCAGTGACAACCCCACCGAAGGGGCCTTGAAGCTTATCAACTGCATCAAGACCAACAAACAGATGGAACCAGCAATCGCTGTCCTACTCTTCTGCATGGTTAAAGAGAAAACATATAATCCATACTACACTCAAGTAGCATCCAGGTTGTGTAACACTGCTGACTTAAAACTACGACAAAAGCTTCAAATTAATTTACGAAGGGGATTACACGTCCTGGTCCACTCCATCATCGTCAAAAAACAAGTCCAAGAAAAGCGAGACCGGATCCTCACCTTCCTTAACGACTTACAAGATGACATCGATGAGCCTGACAAGAAGAAAATTGTTAATAAGCTTCTGGACTAATTTTTGCCAATGGATGAACCCGTAAGGCGACCCGCAAGGCTTCGGAACGCAGCTGGGTTGGCGGGGGCTACGCGGAGAGAAACAAGCGCGGTGGGGTGGGTGGGTACTTTAGTTAGAGTATCATGCAGAGTAGGTATCATGTAAGGGAGACATGATGTAATTATTGTTGGTGAGTGTGGTCAAGAGACGGGTCGTCAGCAGACGATAAACAGGATGGCTGGTCTCGAATAACAGCTTCTAGTACTGTCCGTCTGGCCCATTCCTTTGAGGAGGCACCATCAAATAGATGTATCACTCTTTCTGTAATTAGGGTCAAGAAATTCTGGACGAGGAATTGGAGTCCCCTTTGTCTGTTCGGCAGGTCGAGAAGTCTGCAAAATTCAGACCGTAAGCGATCTTCCGCGACGGTGTGAAGTAGTTGTCCCAGCAATCGCGATTTATGTTCCTGAACCACTAGCCAAGTTTCCGGGTGCAGACGGAGCTGATTCGGATACAACGATAGAAACCTCGATATCCGGATGACACGAACGGGGTCGTCCATCAACGTCTGACTGCCATCGATCAATCTAATCCATCCATTCTTCAAATCCTCCACACCCAGTCCCAACGGGTCAATAATACAGTCATCGAAAGGGTCGTAATACAATGCATTGATGGTCAAATCGCGTCTCCGGGCGTCGGCTCGAAGTAACTCAGCGATCTCCGTCACCTCATCTGTCATCTCTCCAACACCACCATGGCTATTGGCAGATTTTAAGGCGTCAGACTTCAAGGCAACAAGGTCAATTCTACAGTCAAGGTGCTTGATGGTCATGGTGATGATTTTTTGGCGCCGCGCTTTCACTGCACTGGCGTTCAGGACGCGCGTCTTAACAGGAGCCGCGTTGGGATATAGGGACTTAAACGCCTGTTCAATACTTGCGGCTATCTCATCCACATCGCTAGGGTACGCTACCACGTCAAAGTCATGTAGTCGTTCGGCCCCGAAATGCTTGTCTCGAACCCAGCCGCCTGAAAGCCACAGCTTCCACGGTCTGGGGGTGCTAGAGGCCGGCGCAGTGGCTTGGAGTACTTGCAGCAGCTGGCCTCCTTCACGTTTTTTATTGGCGGGGCAGCGAGTCAATAACATGATCGGGATAAAACTTTTTTAGAATGACATCGATGTCCCTGGTGCACGTCGTAGAGGACGACTGCACAAGGTGCCAGTACTACCGGTCCAACAGGACCGGCTTGAGAATCGTCGTATGTGAATTAGGCTCAGAAGGAGTCTACGGGAACATAATCATCAACACACCTGTACGATACCAGCACTCAATCCCAGCACTGGGATTCTGATACTGAAGACTGAGATCCCCACACTGACACTGAGATCCCGACATTATTGTTACACGCTAGTCGGTTCTGGTCTGGTTGCGTCGTATGATGTTCCCATCGCATGATGATCACCTAATGATGTTCCATCAGATGTTGGATGAAAGACCACTATCTATGGGAGTGCAGCGTATGGTTCATGGAGGTACAGCATCATTCGGCCGAGATTTCGTCTTCCGTTTGTCTCGCGAGGTATCAGGCGCATTTGTGAATGCGACGGTGTCATGTGATAGAACAACATACACCGTGAATGCAGATACCGATGCAGGGTTTTTGGCACTATTATCGCCTTACCTGGATGCCATTTACGCCACGGAAATGACGGCTCAGCGTTACGATGACATCCGGCAGATGATGGCCATCGACAACGACTTCGACCGAGAGCTCGCTGGGGCCGGCTCCGGGAGCGGCTGTGGTGGGGGTGACTGGTTGTCAGCAATATATCCTGGAGACTGCATTTATAGTCGCAATCCTAGCCCGGATATTAAGAGCGCAATGAGCAGTAGCACACGTGTGCGCGGCGGTGTTTTCGGGGATATTGCTTTGGAGGATTTGCTGAACTACTATAGAAGGTTTTATACGTTAGGGAATTCTACTATTATCGTGGGGGGCAATGTGGACACTGAGGAAATCCTGACTGTGATCGATGCTGAAGAGCAGCATATGTTAAATTCCCGGTTACCAGCAGCGGCGCCGCAGGGCGCGCTTCCAGTGTCCATTGTGCGCCCTTTACTGCTGTATCAGGAGGCGCCGGTGTTAATTCAACCTGAATTGCCACCACTGCCCAAGTCTGCAGCAAGCCGAGGCAAGAAGAAGGTACTGGGGGTGAAAGGGGTGCCATTAGTGCGCTTCCGGTCTGTTATAGATGATCCACTTACGTCAGCTCCGAAGATACCAGCCTTCCTCGTAAAAGGAGACTTGAAGGCGGTCACAACAAAGTCGTACGACGTCCACGTCATTTTCCAAGGACCTGACTATCTGGATCGACCAAGATGGGTGGCTTTTCAGCTGATCGTGCAGCATATTTGTCGGACATATAACGAATTGATTGCTACTCGGCAGCAATATTTAAGCCAAAACGTCCAAGGGGATCTGGTGCTGGATTTTGACCCGTGCGACTCGGCACTGTACTCACTGAACATGCGAAAGCGGAAATATCCGCTTGCAATTTTCAGTGCCTGCGGCGTCGAAGTAGACATGCTAGAGGATACAGTGACTAAGCTACCCGAATTCATCCGAACAATGGGCGATGAGGAGCACCCACTTTGTGCCTCCAGTCTTGATAACATTGCCGTCGTCATACATAACGGCTGGACCTCCCACGAACAGGAGTACGTCTGCCGTGCCGAATTCGATTCCGTCACCAGCATGAACATGTGGGCCGCCTTCACCAACGACGACAAGGCCTGCTTCAAGTACTCTTCCAACCCCATTCGGAACTTTGACCACCTGAAAAAGCAACCATGCTCTTTCTGGAAGAACCTCTACTTCAAATACTTCCTTCAAACAAAGCCGATCGTTCAAGTGCTCCATACCGAGAACCACATACTCTCACCAACTCTCTGTGCTACCAGTACGCCACTTTCTCCCTCCTTTACCTCCCTTTAACACCTCCCTCCGTGATCCCTCTTCCTCCCTAATCCCCCTTTTCCTTCAGCTTCTGCGATTGGATACGGAAGTATCCAAGACGGACAGTTGTTCAGAGAGAAAGAGTGGGAAGACTTGGTGGACGAAGAGGTGGATGCCTATCTTCAGTCCATTGGAGTTTGAACGTCGAAGTCTGAACAACGAAGTTTGAACGTCGACCCAACACCGGGGCGGAGCGTGAACTTTTTATATCTGTAAACCCGTTCTGTGGTGACGGGCTCTGCACGACTGGGCGCGCGCCGTTGTTGGCGCTCACCAACAGATCAGCATCGCTTTGCCTCAACGTCATTTTGCCTTGATGCCATTGCCTTCATGACCCGACGAGCACACGATTTTATGCACGGACGACATTGTAGACGCGCGACTCTATGGCTACGAACATCCATAACCTTACATTTGCCCGCAGTTCTCAATTACTACGTTAAGTTTTGGCGCATCGTTGCTGGCGTAAGTAGGCGTATTTTCTATTTTCTTCGCCACGAGTAAAGACTCATCGTTGAGTAGCTTCCCGAACACCACATGCTTCCCATCCAACCAAGGACATTTGGCCCCAGTAATGAAGAATTGGCATCCGTTGGAGTTCGGTCCGGCGTTGGCCATGGATAACAAACCCGGTGAGTCGTGCAGTAGATCGAAGTTCTCGTCATTGAACTTGTCGCCGTAGATTGATACCCTGCCCGAACCGTCGTGCTTCACAAAGTCGCCCCCCTGTACCATAAAGCCTTTAATAACTCGATGAAATTTGCTTCCTTTGTAACCCGTCGGAGTTTTGTGGGCATCTTGTGAGAATTCTCCGGTGCAAAACTGACGGAAATTCTCAGCCGTTTTCGGACACTTGTGAGCGAACAACTCCATATACATCCGCCCTACATTATGTCCTCCGATTGATATATCCAAAAATACCACTGGATTACCGGCGCTATATTTTGGACAGTACTCCGGTAGCAGGTTCTCCGAACCTTCGATACACGGATACTTACTTGTCATTTTTTTCTGTCTTGGGCCATTTTTTAATTGCCTTTCAACTTTATGTACCGCACCTGTTCGCCATCGACGGTGGTTGTGATAATGTCACAGAGCTCGGAAATGAGGCTCTTGATGAGCTGGAACTTGGAATTCCGAGCTGAAACCCCAAGTTCAACGAGAACCATCTAAAAAGCGCAACATGCAAAAAGTGTGTGCACACACTTCGAATTACCTTAATTGTTACATTTTCCTTGGTCCGTAATAGGTTCAGCAAGTCGTCCTTGACCTTTTCTTCGGTCTGCACCTGGTTGGTGACGGGCACTTGGCTTAGGACGGGTCGCGACGGTCTTTTGGGTCCGGCTCCGGATGCGCCATCTTCCTTTTTATCGTCGTCGTCGTCATCATCGCTGTACTTCTGTAGTTCTTCGTCGGCTTGCGCGCGCTTTTGGTTTTGGAGCATTTTGCTCAAGCTTTCGCCGTAGTTGGTGAGCATTTTATCTTCGTCTTCGGAGTCTTCGACGTCTTCGGCGGCGGCTTTGTCCTCGACTTCCTCTTCGCTGAGTGCTGCGCCTTCCTCGTCGTCAGAGGCGTCGCCCTCCTCGAAGTCCCAGTCGACCTCGGCCTTCCTAATTTGTCCGAGCGAAGTGGACGACTTAGCTTGGGCCTGGTTGTCCAGGTCTCGGGCCTTCTTCTTGCGAGCTACCGCTTTTTTTACTTTCGCGTCACCCACGGGCAAGGCTGGAGTAATGTCGTCGTCATCCTCGTCATAGTAACTGAAATGATTCCGCTTTACGCCTCGTGCAGCCGGCGGCTCCTCATCGTCAGATGCCCGCGCAGCTGCCGCCATATTGGCTGACACTCGTCGCGCCGCGGCCAACTCCTTAGCCCGGTTGATCTTCTCCCGTTTGTTCAGCACGTCCACCTCCTCCTCGCCAATTTTCTCCTCTGTACCCGGCACGAATTCATACGTGCCACACACACTCTGACACTCGTAGTACGAACCCCGGTCAAACAACACGTACGAAGCATTCTTGCTCATGCTCTCCGGCTGTCGGCTACCTACCCAATCCAACTTACCCCCATTCGTCAACTTGAGTGGCTGCTGGTCAGAATGCGCCTACAACACACATACGGACACGGTACGGGACAGGGTATAGCACAAGGTATGAACACGAGGATTTGGGACTAGGGGAGGAGCTAGGACTAGGGGAGGAGCTAGGACTAAGGAAGGAGTTAGGATTAAAGAAGGAGTTAGGACAAAGCAAGGAAGGAAGGAAAGACTGCGTTACATTATATGAGAGTTGGATGGCGGTGTCGCTGGTGGTTATGAGGCTCAACTCAGGCACCCTCACCACTTGGGGAATGAGTGAAGCCTGTCCCATGATAATGGGCTTGCCTGGCGCCTTCAGCAAGTCAGCAGGTACTGCAGCGGACATTGTTAGAGTATTAGACGGACAAAAAAAGGGGCTAGCGACCGGGAGCTCGAGACCAAAAAATATGAAACCGACCCAACTACTCCAATCAGGGACCCAGCCGAGATGAGACTCACCCGTCAAATGCCACACAGTACGGGATGAAGATGGCAGTTAAGATTTAAAGTAGCTAGCACCATAACACAGTGGCTGGCGCTCAAGATGCCTTACACCCAAAGGTTCCTTCACTCCTCCAGACTCGTACACGGGATGACCAGAGTGACCCACGACGACGAGCGGCCGTGAGGAGAACGTAAGAATTGAAAGTAACCGGCTTGTGAAAATACGTGCGCCCAACACACATTCAGAAACAGACGGTAGCGTCTCCAGTAGACGAGTTCAAAGACCCATTCGTAAGGGTCTGTCTTACTTTTTCATCATCATCTATTCGCGAAGATATTCTTCTCGATTGACCATTTCTTCTTCTCGACGATTTTTTCTTCTCAGTGATGGTTCTTATTCTTGACAATAGTAGTGTTGACGGATTCTTGACAGATTCGATAACAAGTATTGGCGGCCTGTTCATTCGTTCACCCTCCTGCTCACGTCAGAGTGTTTAGTGGTGGTGTTTCTTGGAAGAGTGATGCTTCTTCTGCTTTTTGTGTTTCTTCTCCGTTAGACCTCCTCGGGGCAATTGTCTAACGAAGTCATTAGGATTCTGCCATGCTCCTGGAAGTGGATGTACGATGTCAGCTATCTCTCCAGCTGGCAGCATGGGTACATGTCCCTCGATAGTCTTGAGGCATACCTCATTGATGGTTTGCTTATCAAGACCGGGATTCAGTTTGTGAGTGAGAGAGTTGTACTGTGCAGCTGGCACGTTGACTTGTTGGTGGGTCTCATCGATTTTGCCGCAAGGAACTATGGCGTTGGCAACGGGCTTGGGTACGTAGACGTCTACAGCGTAGAGTACCGGTTCGTAGGTGCGCGTCTCAACCTTGAGCTTGCCTTCCTCCCGCATGACCGGTCGCAGTTTCTGCGCGACGACGCAAGGTACCTCCTTTCGGCTGTAACGCGGGACCTCCACCTTCCGCTCGACTGTGTATGGCTTCTCAACCTCGACATATTGAGGTACCTCCACAACCTCCACACGCGTCGAGACTACGTCCACCACCTTTTCTACCAACTTATCCACCGGCACTTCACGCCGCTCCTTCACCTTTGTTTCGATCTTCCGCTCCTCCTCAATAATCTTCTCTACTTTGTGAATTCGATCCTCGTAAATAATCTCTTCCTGCAAAACCTCCTTCGTCTGATACTCAGGCACCTTCACCTCCTTCACCACCTCACGGATCTCCGGCTTAGGCACCTCAATCTCGCGCTCCTCATGCACCTCCACTTCCACGTATCGCACACGCGACCCGTCCGGTAAGATCTCCACATGCTCGCCGAAACCAGGCATTAACTGCCCCCCAGGTGGGCCACCGCGGCCGCCACTCGACTGCTGGCCGCTGTGGTAACTCCCGCCTGCCGCACCGCCCGAGGGTCTCGAATGCTGACCCGTGAAACTTCCCGAGTTCCCACCCGGCCGCTGCTGCCCGTTGTAACTTGGTGAAACTTGGCCATTGTAGCTTGGCGAAACTTGCCCGTTGTAACTCGGGGACGTTTGGGGGTTATAACTAGGAGAACGCCCGTTCGGCGAACCTTGCTGCTCACCCGTGTTGTAACCGGGGTAGCCCTGCCCACCACCATTGGGGAAGCCTTGACCACCGCTATTAGGGAAGCCTTGACCACCGCCATTGGGGAAGCCTTGACCCTGACCGCCACTGGGGAAGCCTTGGCCTTGACCGCCACTGGGGAAGCCTTGACCCTGACCGCCACCGGGGAAGCCTTGACCCTGACCGCCGCTGGGGAAGCCTTGACCCTGACCGCCGCTGGGGAAGCCTTGACCCTGACCGCCGATGGGGAAGCCTTGACCGCCGCTGGGGGCGCCGCTGGGGAATCCTTGACCGCCGCTGGGGGCACCGCTGGGGGCGCCGCTGGGGAAGCCGTGGCTGCCGCCGGCGGTACCGCCGTTCGGGAAGCCGGTTCCGGCGCCGGCTCCGTTGGGGAAGGGGTACGGCGGGAAGCCCTGGCCGTTGTAGCCGGCGTTGGGGTAACCGCCGGGTGGGTACAACCCCTGGGCCTGGCCGCCCTGGGGGTAGCCAGAGCCATAAGCAGGATAGCCGTTGCCGGCTGGGTAGCCGTTGCCGCCTGGGTAGCCGTTGCCGGCTGGGTAGCCGTTGCCGGCTGGGTAGCCATTGCCGGCTGGGTAGCCGTTGCCGGCTGGGTAGCCGTTGCCGGCTGGGTAGCCGTTGCCGGCTGGGTAGCCGTTGCCGCTTCCGTTGGGCGGCAGGCCGCCAGGGGGCGTGCCGTTGGGGTAGGTGGTGTGGCCGAAGCTGCGCTTCTCGGCGGAGTGTTCGGAAATGGAGGGTAGTCGGGTAGCACCACTTTTACCCGCGGAGGTGGGTGAGCCTGTGCGGTGTTTGACGACATTATGGAAGGCGTTAGGGCTGTCGGCGGGAACAAGACCGGGAACGAAGCCTGGGACCATGTTTGGGTACTGTGCCGGGTCTGGCATGTTGTATTGCGGGCCGACGGGAGGGTATCCGCTGTACTTTCCGTAGGGCGGCGAGCGCGCACTGGAGCCGCCATGTTTGTGCGAACCGCCTCGTGTGCTGCTGCTACTGCTGCTGTCCCCTCCGCGCTGTCCGACGTGTCGGTCCGTACCCTTCCGCGCACTCATGTTTCCATGTCCACTCATGTTTCCATGTCCACTCGTGTTTCCATGTCCACTCGTGTGTGCGTGCGAACCGGTCGTATGTGAGCCTCCAGTGTACTGATGTGAAGCTGTGTGCTGGTGAGAAGTTGTGTGCGATCCCGTGCGGGAGTGGTATTCTGATTGCATCTTGCGGTGCTTGCCGTCATCTTCGTCACTGCTGACACCGGAACCCCGTCCAGCACCGCCTGGTTGGATGGTCATCACCGACTCAGGCGGAAAGCGCTGCGCCAGCGTCTTCAGCATCCTCTCCACCGCCTCCTCGGGGTTCTTAAGCGCCACCGTCACCTCGGCCTTCTCATCCACGTCGTTGTTCGCGGAGTGTAACGTAATCGTGACCGCCCCCCCTGCTTGATCAACTACACCGCTGGACATAAGAGCAAAAAATTTCGTACAGTAAAAAAGTACTTTATTCCAACACCGATGGAACCTGAGACGACAGCAACTGCACCACCTAAAAATACAACCAACTCACATCGTGCTCATCCCGGTGGTCACATCGCGACCTCGTGATCACATCTCGTCCTCATGATCACATCGCGACCTCGTGATCACATCGCGACCTCGTGATCACATCGCGACCTCGTGATCACATCGCGACCTCGTGATCACATCGCGACCTCATAATCAGGCACCAATCTTAGAAGAAACTTTTCCCTCCCAAGATCGGCACGCAAGTCGGTTGTGTTTCTTACCCCTTGCAACTCTTCTAGGATCTCTACACTGTCCTCATATACGGAATTGGTTGGTTTGGTCGAATATAGAGCAAACACACCCTTCTTCTGGTCCAGGATTCCATTGGTCATATGGTCTAGAATCATCTGGCTCAATTTCTGCTCCACGAACTCAGGAGACAGTTTGGTCTTTCGGGCTATGTGGGATATCTCCACCCTGGAAATAACGCAGCGTAAGATGGTGTGTGCAGGAGGAAGTGTGTGCAGGAGGAAGTGTGTGCAGGAGGAAAGTGTGTGCATGCGGAGGAAAGTGTGTGCAGAAGAGGGTACTCAGAGTATGGTTCAACAACTTTGAGTATTGCCTGAATGAGTAATTGATCGGCGGCATTATCAATATGTCTTTTGAGGAATTGGTCATGTTGAATGATGTCTTGGTTATTTTTTATGGCGAGTTCAAATTCCTCGAGATTCTTATTTTCATATGCTTTCGCTATTTTCAGCAAACTTTTAACATCCGGTCTATCAAGAATATTGGATGTGCTCGAATTAGCATTGGCGCCAGTGAGTCCTCTGGTGATGGTTGATAAATCGGTGGAGAGTAGATGTCCAGTTAAGATTCTGCATAGGATCATGTATTTGAATGCTGAAGCGGCCTTATCTTCAATGGTAGTTTTCTTCTGTTGTTGTTGTAGATGTATAAGGGCATCGAAAGCTTCATAAAAGTAGGAGTATGCTGTCCTGAAATCGCCTTCTTCGGCGTGTAATGATCCCGCGACAAGATCAATATCAGCTTGCAAATTCGGGGGACAGTTAATGGCATTACCATTTGCTTTAGCAGCCGTTAATGATCCTTTAGCTCTAGGAATATGTCGAACATTATAATTCAATTTAGCTTCCGTCAAATAAATTTCAACCAACAATAACTTATCATCTATCTTCTTTACCTCACTCAATAAACCTGGAAGCATCTCCAAACCCTCCTGATAACGACCCAAGTCATTCAATAACACAGCCAACTTCGTCTGTAAACGATGCTTCAAGAACGTACGATTCTCATCTTGACACCAACCTATGGTTTCTTGACATAATTGAACCTGCAAATCAGGACAATTTTCAACTCTATCTATTAATGAACGAGCTAAAACAGAGAACAAGATTTAATGAGAACGAACAAGATTTAATGAGAACGAACAAGATTCAATGAGAACGAACATGCGAGCGAACAAGAGTTAATGAGAACTTACTGATCTTAGCAATCCTAGCCTTAGGGAATATGGTGAATAACGGATTAAGTATCTTAAACAACTTGTTGAAATCATCAGGTCTCTTCTGTAGGTTGATTAAATTCGCCGTCTTGTCAATGGCGTCTTCTTTATTCTTCAAGACTTCAAGCTCCAACTCCTTCTTATCTATTACGCTAGCTGATAGACCTCGCCCTATTGCCTCCTCAGTTTTCGTCTCTATCAACTTTGTTACCTCCTCCTGATACGGTACCGAAATGTCTTCCAACAGCTCCGCCAGTCTCCGCTCGTACTCCTCCGCACTAGTGCCCTCACTCTCCAAGTTCAATGCCTCTCTTATAGCCTCCATATTTTTTAAATATGATCCCGCTATATTGGCCCAATATCATTGGTTATGTTAGAATACTATTCCTCATAGCAGCCGTTTCCACCTTCCATAAGCACGCATGGACCGCGGCCGGTTACTATACCATAAGCGAAATACTAGATGCCCTAGATGGACATGTAGCTAGATGGCTCAATCAAGGTGTTACTCATTCCCGTTCCCTCCCTCGTACCCCGTTCCCTCCCTCATACCCCGTTCCCTCCCTCATAATAGCCCCTTCCATCAACGCAAAATCGTGTGCACACACTTTTTTTCTTTGCAGCATCATTGTTGGGAGCGTGCCTGGATCAAGTCACAGATAGATTGTCTACTCTGGCCATCTATATGCTACTATGCAGTCGCTACCCGAGTTGGTCAGGGCTCATTTTCGCTCTGGCGGCCGCAGACATTGGCGGTCATTGGATCTTTGTTCATGCCCAAACTCTACGAGGAGCAAGAACGCACAAGGAGGTTCATTTGCCGTGGCCTTTCTTGAGGTTCTATTACTCCAACCGTCTGTTTATGTTCACTGCCCACTTAGCCTACGAGGTCTTGTGCTGCTCGTTTCTCGTTTGTTCGTGGCACAAAGTGGGCACCTTTCCTTACGAATCTGCGAGGTGGCTTGGCGTTATTAGCGCTCCACTCGGAGTAGTCAAAGCTGTACGACTACCAACCACGCAACCATCGGTTGTCATCCCCCCTTCTTCCATCACAAGTTGTCCTTCTGGCACTTTGCCGTTCTCTCTCAATTGTCCCGCTATTGCTCCCGCCACTGCTCCCGCTATTGCTCCCGCCACTGCTCCCTCTGTTGCTCCCGCCATTACTCCCGTATTGCTCCCGCCATTACTCCCGTATTGCTCCCTTTCCTTGTTAACAGGTTTCCATATTTAGGTGACGAATGTGAGTCAGATCTTTTTGGGAGGGAGTGTTTTGGTGGATGAAGAGAACAAACGAAAAGCGCGAGTGAATTGACGATTTTTTTTTGACATGAGCTACACGCCCCTGGACGGTGGCAGCGGTCATCATAATGGGACCGTCCGGCCGCCGGAGATCTATCGGCCTGAGTTCCAGAGATCTGAGTTGCAGAGATCTGAGTTCCAGAGATCTGAGTTGCAGAGGCCGGAGTTCTCATCGCGGCCTTCAATGAAGAAGACTATGACAAATGTTTCGTCTTACAACAATGCGGCGTATGAAAGTACGCCTTATACCAATACGTCCTACAATGATGCGCACCCTGTGATTGGGAGATCGCAGTCGTCCAAGCCGAACGCCAGGACCAAGTTGCCTATACTGCCTGGATCACGGATGGGCGGAATGATTAAATCTGGTTTAGGAGGATCCGGGTTCAGATCCGGCTTACGGTCAGGACAGAGTCGGCGGTCAGGACGTGGCAAGGAGCCGACAGGTGTATTGAATTTGCTAATCAAGTTCTGGCCGATAAGTGTCTTCTTCGGCTTCATCCCGTTGGGATTTGCGTCGAGGATTCTCGGGTGGGCGGACCCGTTAGTCTTTGCGACCAACTTCTTGGCCATCGTCCCATTGGCATGGATCATGGGAGTCGCTACGGAAGATTGTGCAGCGGCGTTTGGAACAATAATTGGTGGGTTGATGAACGCGTGGTTTGGTAACATTGTGGAGATGCTTCTTTGCATTGCAGGGTTGCGACAGGGCGAGTTGGTTGTGGTGCGTTGTACCCTGATTGGGAGCATCCTCTCGAACCTGTTGCTGGTGGCAGGTTGCTCGTTGTTTGTTGGCGGTCTCTTTTACAAGGTCCAGGAGTTTTCTGCGGTTGGTGCTTCAACCACCACATCACTCCTGATGTTAGGAGCCTTCTGCGCTGGCATGCCGAGCATGTATTCCGTAGTCTCTGGTACTGGCTTCGACGAGACACTCAAAATGTCGCGTTGTGTAGCCTTCTTTCTGGTGGTCATGTATGCGCAATTTATGATCTTCCAACTCCGCACTCACTCTTTCCTCTACACGCCTGTGACCGAGGAGGAGGACGACGACCAGGAAGAGGAAGTGTCCATGGGGCCCTGCGCCGCGGCGGTGGTGTTGGGTGTTGGCACTGTGCTGTGCAGCTTCAGCAGCGAGTTTCTCATTGCCTCCATCCAAGGAACTGTCAGCTCCTTCCACATCAGTAAGGAATTTATCGGCATCATCCTGCTACCGATAATAGGCAATGCGGCGGAACACTACACGTCTGTAGTCGTCGCCATACACAACAGCATGGACCTCTCGCTGGGTTGTGCCGTCGGCTCTGCTTGTCAAATGCTCCTCTTCGTCACCCCAGTCACCGTCCTGGTCGGCTGGATCGTGCAGCAACCAATGTCGCTTGACCTACACGCCTTTGAGATACTAGTCCTCGTTCTCGCCATCATTATCATCACCGGCATCCTCCAAGATGGCTACAGCAACTGGCTTGAAGGTTCCATCCTCTGCAGCGCCTATGCAGTCATCGCAGTCGTCTACTTTTTTGAGAACCCAAAACTAAGCGACGTCATCTGAAACTCGCCACACCCTGTTCCCTCCAAGCCCGACGAAAACCTGACAACAAAAACCCTCGTCAAAAAGCCACAGGAATTATACCGAGGAAAACACCACAACCTCCATCACCGAGGATCTAGCACGAGGAGAGGACCTACCACGAGATGAGGATCGGGGACTCTCTGTTGCGGGTACTGGCTCTGTCGAGTATCGTGCATTCGACGGAGTCCTTAGCAGATGAGTCCTTAGCAGATGAGTCCTTAGCAGATGAGGTCTCTCTGGATTCCCAGCTTGTATTTGATTCCGCATTGGACTACGCGTTGGACTCTCCAGTTGAGTCGGCCGTGGACTCGGTGTTCGATTATCTCCGAGGGTATGGCAACAATGGCCGCACTACGTTTGGTGAACCTTTGTTCAGAGGTGAGGGTGTATCTGTGCGGCGGATATCCCAATGGGACCGTGTATTGGCTGAATATTCCCGCGGGAATGTAACATTGGTGGCGCGTGGTGTGCGTCATGAAATGGCAACGGTAGAATTATTAAGGACGGCGATTGACTGCGAGGGGGTAGTTTATACGGCTCACGATTCCAGTCGTGAAGTGGACTGTTTACTAGACGTGCTCCGTGCGGAATGGGCGCAAGCAAAACAGCATGTATGTTTTTTCCGTCTGAATATTGACGTCCCCGTCAGCGTGTCTGGCGCTACTGTTTCACAACAAGTGCAACAAGATTGGCGCCGTCGCACACGTAATAATCCTATCGTACTTACTGACCGTTACAAGTCGGGTTTATTACTCATTGCCCTGATCCGTAAAGGTGTCATCAAACTGCCTGCTGGTAGTGTGGGGAAGCACCCATGGATCTTCTACATCGATGGCGATGTGGGTATGACAAATGTGGAGCGTACCTTGCGGAATCTCGTAACGAATGTGGAACAGGCTGCACGGCACCTGACCATGGAGGAACGCTTGTTGAATAGAACGATCGCGCAAGCGCCCGTCTCACGGGCCGCGGATGCACCCGAACGTCGTGTAGACATGGTGTTCCCACACGGTGACTGTTTGCTACCCACCTCTTACAGCCAGACCGGCACCTTGCTCATTCGTCCCACCACACTCGCTGCATTCGTTCTAGAAACTGTCGCCAACTCACCATACCACGTACTCGATACTTCCCGCTTCGCCATGGGCGACCAAGCCGTTGTCGACACACTCCTCACCGCCATGTTCGGCATGCGCTGGACCGTACATAACAACTACTGCAGAAACAGCAAAAACTTCAAACCTGGCTGCAACTTGCAAGAGCTGAGCTACTTCCGAACCATCGACAAACGACTACCCGCCGGACCCAAGTCTAAATGCCCAGCACAACTCTTCGATAATAACTCAAAGGACATGAGAGGGGAGGAGATCCAGGGTTTGTCGGAGGACTGTTGGAATCAGTTTGATGCGTTGCCTGCGCTATTCCGACGGCACTACCGGCAATGGTTTTTGGAGAATGAAGATGTCGATGAAGACCAACCGTGGGTCGGTGGCTTGGCCTTCGCTTGCCCGCGTTGGACCAACTCACCCATCTGCGAAGTACGACGCGCTCGCGGCCCAAGCTCGCCATTCCATTTCCGATGTGGCGATTTGCTTTTCCATCTTTACGGCTGTAGCAAAAACTACATCTTCGATCCCAACTTCTTCGACTACATCACAGCCGACCCCAAGTGCGAACAACTCATGCCGCCTTCTGCCATCGCCATATTTAACAAACACCGCGAAGATACACACGGACAGGCGTCGGTAGGACAGGCATCGGTAGGACAGGCATCGGTAGGACAGGCGTCGGTAGGACAGGCGTCAGCATCGGGAATCGAACCGGTGACCGCTGCATACCTAACCGTAAACCAGTGACTATAGTTAGTTAGTAGCTTATAGTTCGTAGTTCGTGGCTAATAGTTAATAGCTAGATAGATTTTTCTGCATCGGTCTGTCAGCCAGCCGACAATCAGCCAGCTGACAATCAGCCAGCTGACAATTACCTGCCAGATCATACATACATAATCAATGCGAGGCAGACCAGCCCAGGCAGGCAGGACTCATGCCACAACAACAGACCAGCCCAGGCAGGACTCATGCCACAACAATTCAGAGGACAACCAGCCAACTCTGTTCTGGGGTGCAGCTTTATTCTGACGGACAGCACTATTCTGACGGACAGCAGTATTTTCGCGGAAGGCGCTGTTCAAGAGAGCATGCAGAGGGCAGAGCCATGCGAAAGACGGGCTTGAAAGCACGAGAGCGGCGACGGGGGGAGCGAGCAGGCGAAATCAGTAGGGGGGAAGAATTCCTACGGTAGAGGCGTTTTAAATGGTGCAAGGTCATGGTCGAGGGGTGGAGGGGATAGTGGCCGAGGGGTAGTGGTCCAGGGGTAGGGGGGTAGTGGTCGAGAGGAAGGGTCGAGGGGTAGGGGGTGGTCGAGGGGTAGGGGGGTGGTCGAGGGGTAGGGGGGCTACGTCTGCATGTTGGACACTCCAATTTGACTTCCATCCATTTAAGGAGGCATTCCTTGTGGAAGAAGTGTTGGCATGGAGTGACGACGCAGGCGTAGTCGGCGAATTTGACTCTGGTGAAGCAGATGACGCAGTCGACTCCGGTGCATGTGGGTTCGGATTCCTGCCTTTGGGCGGCGGCTCGGGCGACGTCGAGTTCGTAGTCGAAGACCACGGGTAGGTATTTATCAGCGATCCAATGTGGGATGAAGATGCGGGGTGACCACCAGGCCTGTAAGAGTAGTAGAAGGACCTGGGCAGCGAGGAATGCGGTGAGAACGGCAAGTGCAGGAGTGTTGGGTCGTCGCTGTATGGCACCGAATAGGTCCATGAACTCGGCCGGGATGGGTGTGTTCATGAACCAAGGCGGGTAGGCATCGCCGAGATTCGCGCCACCGCCTCCCGGGTTGGGAGAGGTAATGTTCGCGAGACCGGGGGGTAACGGCGAGTCGTGTTTCCACAGCTTATTCAGTCGCGAGGACCAAAGCAAGATGGGCAAGACGGAACGGCAGAGGGCGGTGCCGGACAGGAACCAAGGCTTGAGAGGGTGGCGGACGCCGCACCAGATGTTCTTGGCAATCTGGGGCAGTAGGTAGGTGGCGAACAGGAGAAGGACGGGTTCGGGGTAGGTGTCGAAGAGGTTGGAGCTGGCGAGCAGGACGGCGACCATAAGGGCAGCTGAGGAGCGGATGCCCTTGTTCATGTCTGCGATCCAGGCTTCGGTGCCCTGCTGCCCGCGAGCATTCTGGCGCTGCATAGCGCGTTCCTTCCAAAGGAGGATGAGCCAGCGCATCTGGACGACACAGACCAGCAAAACTTTAAGCACGCCCACCATGGCCAACACGGAGAGCATGTCCGACTGGGCCTGAACACCAAAGAAGAACTGGGCTTCGAATGCGTCGTAGAGTACCGCAAGTCCAATCATCCAGGGCGAGGTTTTGAGGAGCACGGGTTGCGCCTGAATGGCGGTGAATTGGCGCGAGTAGAGTACGATTTCGGCCACCGCCTTGAGTGCAACGATGCCGCCTATAACAAGTTTCTGTTCCGCCAAATATTCGGGGTCCAGTTTGCGCAGCGCCAGACTAAGGGAGGTTGCCGGTAGTGGCTGGCACTCCTCGCTAAACACAAAGCGTCCGGCCAGGTCTGGTGCGCGGTTGAAGAAAGGCGAAGCGCCCTCCACAGGCGGACTAGGCTCCCCACCGCTACCGGTTGGGGGCTCGAGCCAGGCGTTCATTCGCGCCAGACTCCCGGTCACGTGGCAGCGACTCTCAGGCGCGCCAGGTACATCTTCCAAAGCCGCCGCTGCCTCAGCCGCCGCCGCCGGGTCCGCCACCGCCGCCGGATCCGTCGCATCTGCGCCCAGCATTGCCTCGCCAGCACGTTGCCACCAACTCCGCGGTCGACGTCTCTCGGGTGTGTGCGATGCACGCAAAAACAGTGCGCGCGCATTTGCCGCACGCACTCCCCGTGCCACAAAACTGTACGCGTCACCCTCCGTTGCCAATGCCACACGCGCCGCATACGTCTCCCAGAACTTGTTCGTTGCCTTCAACACTTCAACCCGCGCACGCCATACCGACACACCCCGAGCACCGAACGAATTATCCACCACAGTCTCGTTCGAAGGCCATAACGCGAACCCTACATATTCGCCTTGCACCTGCGCCGCCGTAGGCACCAATGAACCACACACCGACTCACCAAAACCACCCAACATTCCACCACCCTCCTCCTCCGCTCCGACCGCCTCCGTCTGGGCTCCTAAATCAACTCCGTCAACAAGGGGAAGGGGGG